GAGCCTGTAGTGAGCACCGATATCGGCTTCTTTGCCTGTTCTTTCTCCAAAGCTTAAATGCTTAGCAAGAACAGCGTAAGCCCGAAAGTATGCTGTACTTTCTGCCAGTTACAGCTTATCACCTGGTTGGTATCTCCGCTACGCAGTTTGGCAGCTGGCTCTATAGGGCAGATCAGCTGGTTGTGAACTGCGCTAGCCAACACTACTAACAGCTGTTAGAGTGAATGCAACCAACTGCACAAATAGCTTTGCGAGACGGCTAATACAATTGATTGGTAAAACTCACAAAAGCGCACAAACACGCCAAGTAGACGCCTCCACTCCCCTCGCCTGGATCGTGGAACTGTAGACGCCACCCCAGGAATGGTCTGCACGGGCTTCGCAGTGAGTACCACCACGCACCTTTTGGTGTCTTAGGCCTGTCTCGATTCCCTGCACACGTGCACTAACTTCACTTTAATTTCACAGGTTTATTTGTTTATTTTCACGGAGCAGTTACAAATCGCGTCCGCACTCTCTGACAACAATCTCTCTCCTCTGTATGTGCATGTGTATGTGTATGTGTATGTGTGTATGTGTAATAGTATGTGTATGTGTATGTGTATGTGTATGTGTATGTGTATGTGTATGTGTATGTGTATGTGTATGTGTATGTGTATGTGTATGTGTATGTGTATGTGTATGTGTATGTGTATGTGTATGTGTATGTGTATGTGTATGTGTATGTGTATGTGTATGTGTATGTGTATGTGTATGTGTATGTGTATGTGTATGTGTATGTGTATGTGTATGTGTATGTGTATGTGTATGTGTATGTGTATGTGTATGTGTATGTGTATGTGTATGTGTATGTGTATGTGTATGTGTATGTGTATGTGTATGTGTATGTGTATGTGTATGTGCATGTGTATGTGTATGTGTATGTGTATGTGTTTTTTTTTTTTTTTTTATGCTTACGGCATGGAGGTGAAAATCTTCGTAAGATACTGATGGCCCGGGCCAACCGTATGCACGATTCGCTGACTCCGTCAACACGTACGTACTAAACTCACCCCCCACTCACACACCACATTCCCCGCGGGATCACCGCAAAGTATTACTTCGCGGGGATGGGTTGCCTATTTTAGGCAGTCTCCATTATTCGTCGCTCCTTTTCGCATCGTCTCAGATCCCTCTGGATGCCTATTATCAGCTGACTTATATTCCTCCAGTTGTCCTCTCCTTCCAGCATGAACGTTACTAGTCCCTCAGGTGGGGGTACAGAGCCTACTGCGTCTCTGTACCTCGAGCATTGGTACAGCACGTGTTCCGGGTCTTCGTCCAAATTTGGGCATGTCGGACACTCAGGGGTGTCCTCATGCCTGAACCTGTGGAGATACTTCCTGTACCCGCCGTGTCCAGTAAAAAACTGCGTTAGGTGGAAGTTAATTTCTCCGTTCCGTCTCCTAATCCATTGCTCCAGATTGGGGATTAGTTTGTGTGTCCATCTCCCCTTGTTCGCCGTGTTCCATCTCTCCTGCCAAGTTGCCATTGATTTTGCTCTCTCCGACCGTCGGATGACGTCTATTGAGACAGCTTCGCCTGTCGCTATTCGTGCTTTGAATATGTTCTCCATTTCCTTGGCCAATATATCTACCGGCAGCATGCCTGCCAATACTGTGGCCGCCTCGTCCGACACCGTCCGGAATCCAGAGATAGTGCGGAGTGCGCTTAGCCTGTAGGGGACTGACATTTTCCTTCTGAGGCCTTTCTGGCTTGCAACTGCTGATGCCCATATCGGTGCAGCATAGAGCAGCACGGAGGCTACAACTCTCGCGAGGAGTAGGCGTCTACCTGCTCTTGGTCCTCCTATGTTTGGTAGCATCCTTGAAAGGGCCGCCTGCATTTTTGCCGCTTTCTGGCTAACATACTCTACGTGAGGACGAAAGCTAAGCCTGTTGTCTAACATGACCCCCAGATACTTGATGGAAGCCTTTGACTCGATACTAACGCTGTCTACCTGAAATCTAGCAAACTCAACTATCTTGCGGCTTGTGATAAGCACAGCCTCTGTTTTATGGCCTGCCAGCTCCAGGCTAGCGCCACGCATCCAGCTGGCCACGTTCCTTATGGCTGCATTCGCTGCCGCTTCTACTTCTTTTATTTCTTTGCCCACCACTACTAGGGCCAGATCATCTGCGAATCCTATGATTCTGCATCCCTGGGGCAATTGTACTGTGAGCACCTCGTCGTACATTATGTTCCACAGGAGTGGTCCCAAGACCGACCCCTGTGGGACCCCTGCTGTGACCATGTAGCTCCTAGTACCGTCTTCCGTATCATTAGTTAATAGTCGATCGGACAGGTAGTTGGATATTATACGGAAAAGGGAGGACTGTATCCCTATTCGGTCTAAGGCTTCCAGTATGCGAGACCAGCTTGCTGAGTTAAAGGCATTGCGGATGTCCAACGTAACCACCGCGCAGTACTCCTTGTCTCCCCACCTCCATCGGGTACCCTCTATTGCTTTAGTAGCAATATCTACCACCGCCTTGTGTCTGGGTGTGTGTCTGTGTATGTGTCTGTGTGTCTTTCTGTGTGTGTGTGTCTGTGTGTGTTGGATATCGGCTGCGCCATGTGCGGAGCCCCAAACTGCCCGTAGATATGATGCGGCCTGCGGCATGGTTACCAACCGAGGCAGCTTTGATGGTTTTGTACGATTGTTGCGAATGTTGAGATTTAGACCAAGAGTCCCAGTTCACGAGCGGGGCTATTCATTTTAAAAGACTTCAACTTTTATTGCATTTTAACCTAACTTTTATATTAAGTAAATTGACCTACACAGAGCATACGTCCGGTGACTTGGACTGACGCTCACAGACTTCGACATATGTCGCAAATTCCGCTGTCACTATGCTAGCAAATTCAAAGCTCAATAGAATTACAAAATACAAGAAAGTAAGATAACTTAAAGTAACAGGACTTAAAGCTCTTGAGAGAGCCACTAAATTCCACTCAACCGTGAGTGATAAGACATCACTCAATGCGGCTGATCTAGGCACAGATGCATTTTAGTTACTCGCTCTTTTCATGCGCTCTCTTATAATATACGCTCTTTGGCCGTTGCGATTGATTTTGCGGGTTAGCTGTAGCTAATTTAAAATAGAAGAGTACAATTTAAAATTTGCGTAAGGGTTGGGTGTCATTATCAAGCCAATTCTCTTGTATGGGCAATGGACAGAGCTTTGTTACTGGCCGTTTGATAACACCACTGCTTGTTTTAGAGTCACAACTCTAACTAATCCATCTGCACCAGCATGAGTGCTTGTAATTCGACAAAAAGGCCATCGATGCGAAGGAAATCGTTCATCCTTGGTTAACACCATGCATCCAATATCTAGGTTTCTCTTCATCTGCAACCATTCTGGTCTTCTTTGCAACCGTGTCAAATATTCAGAACTCCACCTTTTCCAAAATTGATTTGAATAGTATTGACAGTTTCTCCACCGATGCATTAAGCTCAATTGAGGTACTTCAGGTGTAGGAGGCGGCAAGAGCGCATCACCAGTGGGAAAGTGATGGTTAACACCATCAAATCCTCATGATCATTCGAAATAGGACATAAAGGCCTTTAATTAAGACAAGACTCAATTTGTGCTAACACTGTTGCAATTTCCTAAAAAGTCAACACTCGATCTCCAATGGTTCTCTTGAGATGATACTTCATGGACTTATCTCCGGCTTCCCGTAATCCACCGAAGTGTGGAGCTGATAGAGGGTTGAAATGCCACGTGATTCCCTTAATCAGTAACTTTGGCGCGATCAGTCTTGAAATGTACGAATAGTAAGCCTCCCTATCAGCTTGTAGTTTTTTGTTGACTCCAACAGAGTTTGTACCACAGTCACTGTAAATATCTGTACATAGACATACATAGACCCCGTCTGCCTATGATTCTGACGTTAAATCTCCAACTGGCTCTAAATGTATGGCCTTGGTCACCAAACATATAAACACGGCAACGTATCCCTTTTGTGCTACACGTCCTCTTCCTTTTGATGGCGAAATATTAATAGGTCCAGCATAGTCAACTCCGACAGATGAGAAAGTTCTTGAGGGCCGCACACGCACCGCTGGCAAATTTCCCATTTGTTGACATGAAAACTGAGGCTTCATTTTGAAACATGTAATACATTTATGTATACCAAAACGAACTGCATTGCGTCCATTGATGCTCCAAAATTTCTTTCTTATATAATTGAGTGTGAGCGAGGAGCCTCCATGCAAAGTACAAGCATAACTATAATTTACGAAAAGACTCGTGAAATAATGTTTATAGGGTAATATATATGGATGTTTCTCATTCACTAGCAACAAGGCATCCCGAGCCGTAAGACGCGCTCTAATTCATCTGTTGATACCTCAGTTCGCTTACGCTCAGAGTCTATTATGCGACAGTTTCGAATAAAACGTTTAACATATGCCATAACTCGAAGAAGTCGTGTATACGATGAATATTGACCTACGAACATCGAGCATCTCTTCCAATGATATCTTGTGGCAAGTCAAGCTTACGTCAACTTAGATACGCTAATTCCCCGACTCAGATGGTTGGCAGGGTTATCATTCGAGGGAACATGCTTCCTTTTTTTTTTAATTGAGAAAAAAATGTTATTTTCTTATTAAAACACCAGAGAAAAAAGATTAATTTTCTTTTGACACGGCGGCCGTGTAGTGGAAACGGATCAAGCAAAAAATTTTGATTATTGTTTATTAATTGTTGAGCTCAAACAGAAGCAGTGGAAACTTCTTAACTTATAATTATTATTTATAAATTTTTATAAGAATAAAGAAAAAATAATATGTTTGTATTTTATTAAGTAAACGCAGGTCAATGGCAAAGTGGAAACATACAAAAATATAAAAGTGGCTCAGACTCAGTTTATCAAAAACCGATCTTGATATTTGACAGCCCTGATGTTTGTTTACTTTTTGCACTTGTCAATTAATTTGTAAAGCAGCTCTTGAAGCTGCTGTGGAGAAAAAAAAAAACAAACGTTACGCATATAATGTGATGTGTGTGTATATACATGCAGGTGAATTTGCTCAGAGTTTCGGTTTTAATTAACTAAATACAAATTGGAAATGTGTGCTTATTATTTAGGTATGTGATTATTTTGGAAGTATAGAATTCAGAAGCGCATATACTTATTGTTCAACGGGGCGAAAGCCTATGTGTGCAGATATGTCTTGATGTACTTGCATACATCAATATGGCGATCGGTTAAATTTTTGGGTATATACTTGTACATATACATACATACATGTATGTACAGACACCAATATGGCTACCTTTTATGGAGTCACTTTCTGTTTTATTTCTTTTAATATTTGTCACTTTTTAGGTGCCCTTATGGCCAAAAAAAATATTTTTTTTTAGGGTTTTTTTGTTTGTTTGAATGAAACTGCTCCTCGCATTAACCACGGACAATGTGAACCGAAAAAATATGTTCACACATACAAATATTAATAAATCGGACTGGAGTTGCCGGAAATTTGGTAATGGACAAGTTGAGGTATGTGCACTGCTACTTATCATGCTTGAGTTTGTAGCTGTTCCTGGAAACTTCTATTGCAGATCCACCGATGCTTGATGGGGCGAACTGGATATGATAGGTGTTGTAGAATAATCCGGCTCGAAGGACCAAATGTTGTGGTAGGGCTTCCGCAGGGCTTCCAGGTAAACTTGTTGCAATTGCTAGTAATTGGGGAAACGTTTCTGCTCTATTTGTATTTTTCTAAGTTGAAGTAAAACACGTTCTTTACTTGAAGGTTATTTTTTCGTCTGGTCATATATTTTCAGAATATATGTTACAATGTATTAGTGTAAGTGTGATGAATGGATTGCGACGGCCAAACCTTATGTGAACAAATGCTAACAATTGAACCAGGCGTGTTGTTTCTTAAACCTACTTGGCTAGCGGAGCAATGATGGAATCTTCAACATAATACATGGTGACCGTGACCTTGCCAACCAAGAACCAGCGAAACCAACATTAAAGGAAAAAAATTACTAAATATCAACCAAGAAAAACCTAAACCAACACAAAAGAAAAAAACTACTGAATGTCAACCAAGAACCACCCTAGTCAACATTAAATTAAAATAATTACTGAGTGAGTAGAGTGCGTGTGATATGAGAAAACGTGGAGGTGTTAAGTCAAAAGTAAATAAGAGAATAGCACACTTAAAGTGACTATTATTCTCTAGTACAGCGCCACCAGCGTGGTCAACGGCTCAAAAACTACAAGCCGAACTTGACTTTTTTAAAACACAAATTAAAACCACAGTTCCCAACACTGCATCTCACTCAACTCACATTAAAATCATAAAAGAACAAATAAAAATCTTACTTCTGAAGAAAACATGCACGAACGACTGCGAGGGACCAGAATATCCACCGTTTTTTGAATATACGTGCCGACATTGCGCACCATGGGAAAGCACCGGAAACTGAAAAAAAACAAGTGCGAGTGGCATACCGCAGCTTGCGCCAACGAAGGAGCATCAGCGTGCCACATCCGGCGACGCCCAGCTGATGCATCATTGAGGGTCAATGAAGACACCTACTGGATAAAATTATAACTAATTAATTGCCATATAAGTAAATTTAAAACATAATTTGAAAATTTATGTAAGTAAAACTAAAATTGTAAAATTGAGCGGAACTATTTCTGCCCGACTAGCAGTATAGCCTGTAAAGCTATACGAAAATAGGTAGGAGATTGTAAATGTATAATAAGTCAAATATTGTCATTCAAAACGGAGACACTATTAACATTAACACATAAATTCCCTTGGGCCAAAATGGTCGTTATAGATACTAAATCAGTGGACTCATCTGCAAATGTTATAAATAAAACTAAAAACTTAAGCACACTATTAATTATCATTGTAATATTATTGTCAGCTGGTTTATTTTTCAAAAAATACAAGCTTAATAATAGATGTCTTAAAAAGAAATACTTGAGCGAGGCAAATGACCTGGACAAAATCTAAGAAGTTTTATTAGTCAATAATGATTAATATCGATGCACATGTTTTGCATAATGAAAGCAGATATTCACACAATAAAATTATTTCAAAAGACATTAAAAAAAGAGCCAAGCTACTAAAAAAAAAATAGTAAAAAAAGAGAAAACAGTAGATATTAATACTTTACTTACTAAAAGTTAGTATGGAATGGCAACAGACCCACTCCAAATTAAATGAAATAAAAGCGGATTTTGACAAATCTTATAAGTTTGTAATCCCGAATAGGGAAATACATGCAGCAATACTAAATAAACACTCCAATATATTGGTAGAAAGCTTTAATGAAGCTGGCGTGCACCTGCTGAAAGGGGTGAAGACCGTTTCTAAGTGCTCGGCAAAAGCATTGGCTCTGTCAGTTTCCGTTCTACACTTTCTGCCATCAGTTTTTCTTACTGGGTTGATTCTTTTCTGTGGCCTTTTAATGTGCTTGGTTACTTGCAGTAATATACCACCATAGAGACAAATTCAAAAGTATCAATTGGACACAGGTGTGTAAACCGTTAAACAAACTCAGAGAGAATTTGTCTAATATCATGTTTAAACACAATTTGGATATAAATATCCCCAACATTCTAAATACAGAAACAACATTATAACTCAATGAATCAGAATTAGAAAATAAAGAAACACTTGAAAGTAATTCAGAAATAGAAGAAACTGAATTACAAGAAAGTAAAATAAAGAACCTAATAATTCCAGCACTTATTACAATAGCCGAATTGTCAGAAAATTATGATTCAGATACCAATCTAAGTGTACTTGAACACAAAGCAACTACAATGGCTCAGAACACAATTGAATTAACAGACTCGTCCATATTATCGGAGTACGAGTCCGCAAAGCGGAAAATTTGCAGAGCTTCATAGACGCATTGAATCTATTAGATTCACATAAAGGCGATCCTGAAGTGACAGCAATTAATCTAATAAAGACAAGACTAAAAGCCCATGCACGAAACTTGATAAGCGACGAAAAAACAACCGTCGAAATCATAGCAAAATTATCAAAATCGGATGAAGGATAATCAGTTGAAGTACTATCAGCCAAACTCCTAAGCCTACAGCAAAAGAGCAAAACTGCAAACACTTATACTCAAGAGGTTGAGCAAGTGACAAAAGCTCTAGCTGGTGCTTATATTAATGATGGCTTAAATTCAGATTTAGCCACCAAATCAGTTTAACGTAAAAATTAGAATAACGTTATATAATGTAGTTGTTGTAGTAGGGCGTCCGCAGGGCTTCCAAGTTAAAAACGGGCGATTTGCTGATAATTGGGGGAGCGTTACTGCTCTGAAAAATTGAATTTTTCAAAGTTGAAGTAAAACACGTTTATTCACTTGAAGGTTTTTTTTTGTGTCTAAGTATATTTTCAGGAAATATGTTACAATGTATTAGTGTAAGTGTGGTGAATATCAATTTCTTGTTCTGGTTCCGGAGTTACAGACAATTACATTGGCGGTTGGTTAGCGACGACCAGATACTCTTCTTGTATAAACATGGTGCGCCGCCATGGCTCGGCAGTACGCCTTGGAGAATTAACTCCGGATATATCCAGGGGATGAATTTGGGCCTTGGTGGTGCGCATTGGCTGGGATCGCTCCGGAGATCGCGATGGCGTGCGACGCGCTTCTTGGATGTGAAGCAGGGTGTGATGGTCGCCCTGGCACTTGCGGCACTTGTCCTTGCGTCGACAGGACTCCCCGGAGTGTTGGTGAGCTAGGCTGTTTGGGCAATATTTGTTCACCAGAACTGCTCGAAGTCTCTTTTTTAAGATAGCCGCATAAACCTTAGAAACAGACAGACGGACAGACGGACATGGCTATATTGACTCGGCTGTTGATACTGATCATGGATATATATACTTTATGGGGTCGGAGATGTCTCCTTCTATGCGTTACACATTTCACGACAATATTATAATACCCTCTGCAGGGGTAAAAAAAAAATTCCATACAACTTAATTTTCAGTCCGATCTTAATAGGATTTTGCATATATATGAGGAGCATAGTAAAACAAATAAATGCCGAGTTTGGTCAAGATATCGTGAAAAACAAACAAAATTTTCCTACAACAGCTTAATTTTCGACTTATCGTTCTCATGGCAGCAATATTATATAGAGGTCCGATGTTGATAGGATTTTGTATATATATGACGAGCGTAGTAAAACTAAAAAATGCCGAGTTTTGTCAAGATATCTTGAAAAACAAAAACAAATTCCATACAACAACTTAATTTTCGTGCCGATCGTTCCTATCGCAGCTATATGATATAGTGGTCCTATCTTAATAGGATTTTGCATATATACGAGGAGCATAGTAAAAAAAATAAATGCCGAGTTTGGTCAAGACATTGTGAAAAACAAACAAATTTTTCTTACAACTTAATTTTCGACCGATCGTTTCTATGGCAGCTATATTATAAAAAGGTCCGATGTTGATAGGATTTTGAATATAAATGACGAGTGTAGTAAAACTAAAAAATGACGAGTTTGGTCAAGATATGTTGCATAGATATGAGCATAGTGAAACTAATAAATGCCGAGTTTGATCAAGATATCTTGATAAACACAAATGTTTTTCTTACAAGAGCCTACTTTTCGACCGATCTTTCCTATGGCAGCTATATGATATAGTGGTCCGATCCAGCTGGTTTTGACATATGTACTGCGTGCAACAGAAAGAAGCACTTCTGCAAAGTTTCATAAAGATAGCTTTAAAACTGAAAGAGTAGTTCGCATAGAAACAGACAGACGGACAGCCGGACAGACGGACATGGCTATATCGACTCGGCTGTTGATACTGATCATGGATATATATACTTTATGGGTTCGGAGATGTCTCCTTCTATGCGTTACACATTTCACGACAATATTATAATACCCTCTGCAAGGGTATAAAAAAATATTTGCACATTAAAAAAAATAAAAATAATAAGAAACGAGAAGGAAGGGCTATCTTCGGCACGCCGAAGATTTAATACTCATGCAGACCCAACCTTTTCATAATGCTCATAGTGCTTTGCCCGTATCTAAGAAGCACAGGGAAAATAGTTAATGGCAGTTAATTAACCGAGTATGGTTAAGATGTCTTGAAAAACAAAAAGTTTTCCATATAACAACTTAATTTCAACCGATCGTTCCTATGGCAGCTATATGATATAGTGGTCCGATCTTAATAGGATTTTGCATATATATGAGGAGCATAGTAAAACAAATAAATGCCGAGTTTGGTCAAGATATCGTGAAAAACAAACAAAACTTTCCTACAACAGCTTAATTTTCGACTGATCGTTCCATGGCAGCAATATTATATAGAGGTCCGATGTTGATAGGATTTTGATATATATGACGAGCGTAGTAAACTAAAAAATGCCGAGTTTTGTCAAGATATCTTGAAAAACAAAAACAAATTCCATACAACAACTTAATTTTCGTGCGATCGTTCCTATCGCAGCTATATGATATAGTGGTCCTATCTTAATAGGATTTGCATATATATGAGGAGCATAGTAAAAAAAATAAATGCCGAGTTTGGTCAAGACATTGTGAAAAACAAACAAATTTTTCTTACAACTTAATTTTCGACCGATCGTTTCTATGGCAGCTATATTATAAAAAGGTCCGATGTTGATAGGATTTTGAATATAAATGACGAGTGTAGTAAAACTAAAAAATGACGAGTTTGGTCAAGATATGTTGCATAGATATGAGCATAGTGAAACTAATAAATGCCGAGTTTGATCAAGATATCTTGATAAACACAAATGTTTTTCTTACAAGAGCCTACTTTTCGACCGATCTTTCCTCTTGCATCTATATGATATTGTGGTCCGATCCAGCTGATTTTGACATATGTACTGCGTGCAGCAGAAAGAAGCACTTCTGCAAGGTTTCATAAAGATAGCTTTAAAACTGAAAGTGTAGTTCGCATAGAAGCAGACAGACGGACAGCCGGACAGACGGACATGGCTATATCGACTCGGCTGTTGATACTGATCATGGATATATATACTTTATGGGTTCGGAGATGTCTCCTTCTATGCGTTACACATATCACGACAATATTATAATACCCTCTGCAAGGGTATAAAAAAATATTTGCACATTAAAAAAAATAAAAATAATAAGAAACGAGAAGGAAGGACTATCTTCGGCACGCCGAAGATTTAATACTCATGCAGACCCAACCTTTTCATAATGCTCATAGTGCTTTGCCCGTATCTAAGAAGCACAGGGAAAGTAGTTAATGGCAGTTAATTAACCGAGTTTTGTCAAGATATCTTGAAAAACAAAAACAAATTCCATACAACAACTTAATTTTCGTGCGATCGTTCCTATCGCAGCTATATGATATAGTGGTCCGATCTTAATAGGATTTTGCATATATATGAGGAGCATAGTAAAACAAAATAAATGCCGAGTTTGGTCAAGACATTGTGAAAAACAAACAAATTTTTCTTACAACTTAATTTTCGACCGATCGTTTCTATGGCAGCTATATTATAAAAAGGTCCGATGTTGATAGGATTTT